CACATCACAGAATCCAAGACCTATTTCAAATGATGGTAAGCAGACTTCTTTATCAACACCACGAATGCTACAATTAACTCCTGCAAATGTGCTGGTAGACTTTGCGCTACTCAAAATAAAGGAGGTTAAAAACTATCCTGTGATTCATGGAGCTCAAAACACCAACATTTTTTAGCCCAAACAACCCTTCTCTTCTGCTCTCGGGCTAGTTTCATGAATGGATCAGGTGAAGGATGTCACCAAGGGAAAGCCAAAAACTCCATGCTCACTTCAGAATTCCGTGCACCAGTAATCCACACAGGACTGTCACCCGCTGCCCTCTGGCAACTCAAAGACCCTCCAGACCAGAGCGGAATCTCAGAATCCACCTCAAGAACAAAAGCATTACAGGAAGGGGACAGTTCTCCCATTCTACCTTCTCTCTCACCAAATTGCCTCAAAAGGGCAAACACTGTTTTATATAGACATTAGCATTTCCATAGGACTGAATCTACACTGTATTGAACAGCACTCTGTAAGCAGCATCTGATTACTTAGAGAAAGGAATTTCTCTTCTAAGGACCATGATCAACTCTGGAGATCTTCTCAGGTAGCTTTAGGGCCACGCCAGAGGCTCAGAGAACTTTTCTATGTGCCTAAGAAATACCATGGCAAGCCATCACACTCTGCATTTCTGCTAGTCATGACAGGACATCGAGACACCATCCTTAGGACAAAACTAGTGGCTTCAATGCATTCACACCTGGTCTTTAGAATAAAAATGAAAAATAATTTAAAAAACTTATTTTGCTATTTAGAAAAAGAAATCCTTATTTGAAATGCATTATATGGCTAAGTATAAATAATATAGAAAAGAAGATGGAAATACAGGTGCTATTTTTCCGATTTTTAAATGTGTGAGCACAAGGGCAACACAGAAATTGTAAAAGGAAAACAGACAAATTTAATCTTCCAGACAACATAGAAGAGGGATGGCTCCAGGTTTTCTTTTTAAGTCATGACGACAACGTGTATCACTTAAAACTGTTTGCCAACAGGAGGAACTCAGAGAAGGACAGATGGGCAGGTACAGAGCATCACCATGTGCCTCCACCAGAGGGGCGGGGCTGCCTACAACTCCAGGTCAAATGAAAAATACCTTGGTCGGCAAGAATCAAACCAACCCTCATGAAGCATTTTGACTTTCTTGCCAAAACTAACCCAAGCTAAACTTAAACATGCTACCCTATCCTTTAAAATGAAACAGAGCTATTTTCTTCCATAATCTCTCTTCCCAGATTGGACACGTCTTCCCTTTTTCATTGGTAGGACCCCAACCAAGAGCCTTTGTCTGAGGCTATTCTTAAAGATTTTATTTATTTATTTATTTGACAGAGAGAGAGAGAGAGAGAGAGAGAGAGAGAGAGCACAAGCAGACAGAGGGGCAGGCAGAGGCAGAGAGAGAAGCAGGCTCCCCACCGAGCAAGGAGCCCGATGCGGGGCTCGATCCCAGGACCCTGAGATCATGACCCGAGCCGAAGGCAGCGGCTCAACCCACTGAGCCACCCAGGCGCCCCTGTCTGAGGCTATTCTTAAGTGAGTTGTGATTACTGTTTCCTGAAAGTCTTTCCTTTGATTTCTGTAAGATCTGGAACGACTGAGGTCACTCAATTTCCCCACAGTCATAATAAAACACAAACACCAAAAATGCTCACATTTCATCAAACTTGACAGTTCCTTCCTGCCCCCACAGCTCAGTGAAATACTCCAACAACTTAAAAGGAAGCCTGCCCCTCGTTGCAGTTGCCTAGGCTGGGAGCACAGAGAGGGCTCCTGGCTTTGTGGAAATTCATGTCATTCCGGAGAAGTCAACGTTATTTCCATCAACATAAAAGATGGAGCTGATTAATTTCAGGCATGCTGCACTTTCTCTCATGCCAAACACTAAGTATTCAGAACAGTCTGACAACTTAGGGTACATGTGAAGAGCTTGTTGGAGTCAATGAATGTAGTTAATTAATTTCACCAATGCCTCCTCTTAAAGAAAGGGACTATATTTTCTTCTCTTGGCCAATACAGGGTAGGAAGCATTGCCTCACTCTTCTGACCCTCTCCAGTTCTTTCCAGGCACAGAGTCCCAGGAACATGGCAGCACTCTCTGGCACAACAAAGGTACCACCACCAGCTTTGCTTTCCCACTGCCTGGGCAACTGGGCAATCACATTCTGCTCTCTCCACCCAACTGAAGCCACTTTCTCAAAGTTGAAAGGGGCACTTAACACCTTCTGGTGGCTAAATACAAAAATTCCTTCAATTAAAAAGGAAAAAAAAAAATCCCCACTCAAACCACCCTCTCCACCATCTGCCTGGCCTTTCTTTCCTTCCCTTCCCAGCTTGACTTCTTCAAAGAGTTGTTGCTGCCATTCCCTCACATGCCCCTCACACAGTATCCCTACCTGCTTCAACCTTCGGGACCCTCATGCTGGGGTAACAGGGGCTCATGAGAAACAGCACTCTGTCCCCATCGGGCTAGACCGCCCAAACTGGGAGCAGAAAGGACCCATTTTTCTCAAGGGAGCTGTAAATAAAGGGATGATATCCCCACCCCTAAAAGATGGAGGACTGCTCCCTCCAACCACCTCCCCACCACATCTCCAGCCCCCAAATCCCAAACTGGGAGGAGGGTAGAGGAAGGAACTCAGAGTCTTCACATCAGAGACTTGGCTTAGGGCAGAATGCTGTCATGTGGGGGCAGGGTGAGATCTGGGGGGGGTGGGTATGAAGAGACCTTGTCACAGAGACTGGGCATGCCCTCAAGGAGGAGAGACTCATTCCCTAACTGGATACAACAGCACACATACTGATTTGCTCTGCCCCTACCAGAGCAAACAAAAGGACAACTGCAGAGAGATGTCAGGGCAGAAAGAAGCCTTAACCCCCAGTTCTGTTGGGTTCACAGAACACTGATGAAGGTGACCAGTTAGAACATGTTACCAGTACCCATCCAAAAGGGCCTCCTGCCAGGACAAGGGGATCCCAGCACCAGTTACATGAGAAGCCCTTACCCGCCCCCTATCCTTCCTTCCCACCCAACACAGGAGATTTGTTCGGAGCCCAGAAGAAGGAAAGGGAGGAAGGGTCCCAGAGGTAGACCATCCCTCCCCCCGCCCCAACTTCAGGTCCCTCACACAACAAGACTGGCTAGTAAGAAGCTCAGGGAAAGCCTTAAATCAGATGCCTACGTTTCTCACAGTGGTACCCCAGACATATTCAAGTAAGTGATACATGATAGGCTTAACCATTATTTGTTGAATAAATGACTTAACAGCTTCTTCTTAATCCATGCCTTCTTTGTCCTTTCTGCCTCATTTTGTTCACTCCAACCACAAATATTTGTTGAAGGTTGATTCTGTACAATCTAATCAGGCAAAGGCGATTGAGACATGTTCCCTGCCCTCCAGAAAGTTAACAGAGAACACAGAAAGTACAGGATAGCATCTGCTGCAAGTACATTAACTCAAAAATCCAAACCACCCACTCAAGTATCCCCACCCAGCTTTCTCTCATCAGTTTAGATATGGAATTCTCATGTCTGCCTTTTTGGTGAGCATTGGTCTTTTATCCCTCCTGCTAAAACGCATTTACCCTTAATGGGTCAAGAGTAGTGGGTATCACACTACCATGTATGTATGATACCCTGGAGAGAGCCAGGAAAATCCATGTTCCTTGGGTCTAGAGTAAGCCAACAAGATTTCCGTGCACAGCCTTGGATGAGGCCCTGGAGAAATGTCCAGGAATGCATGGCCCTTCCTAGAACACCACTGTAGGTGATGCAGCACAGAGGAAAAGCTGTGGGTTTCAGTAAAGGTGATGCCAATGATGTACATTTCCCCTCCGACAGCATCTTCCCAACAGAAAGCTGGTCATGCATTGTGCAGAGCCGAACCACTCTAACGCCTGGCTAGAAATCACATGTGATTTACAGGTGGTTTATTAGCAGACTCTTAGAATTGGCCTTTAAAGTCTCATACTTGGAGAAAGCAAATCACTCTATACAATATCCTGTTTCCTTGTAATCACTAGCTTACAGTCCTTCAGCAACCGTTATTGCTTCTCACATATTTTTTTTAAAAGATTTTATTTATTTATTTATTTATTTGACACAGAAAGAGAGATCACAAGTAGGCAGAGAAGCAGGCAGAGAGAGGGGGAAACAGGCTTCCTGCTGAGTAGAGAGCCCAATGCGGGGCTCGATCCCAGGACGCTGAGATCATCACCAGAGCTGAAAGCAGAGGCTTAACCCACTGAGGCACCCAGGCGCCCCCTCACACATGTTTTTAACGAGTTTTTTTTAATGGCCATTTTTCATAGTTATTAAAATAATATATACTCAACACAAAAAAAAATCTAGAAAATACAGCAAAGTTGATAGCACAAAAACATATCATGCAAATTTTCACCAACCCTGTTAATATTCTGGTATATTTCCATTTAACCTCCGTTTGATTTAATAGCTATTTAAATTAATATGCCCCACAAGCCAACTCTGGTAAAAATCACCAATAAACCAGGATATAAACTGCCATCTGTAATCTCTTCCAATTATGAACAAGGTTGGAGCTGCATGACTATAACACAAACAGTAGACTCAACTTGAAAAGCATAAATTCAGTGGAGGGAAAACTGGTTAAGCGGTTGGTTAATGTATAGAAGCAAGATGGTGCTCTTCATTGTCTATATGTCTTTCCAGCAGCCCAGCACTTGGAGTAAGTTTGTCCAAACTTTCAGGAAACTACCACTTCAGATATGAACCCCTTAAACAGAATTTCCTCTGGTTCTTTTAGAAAAAGATAATTTCATGTGAAATTCTTATAGGCCCAAAAAACCATAGTGTTAGTGGTTGGTTCTTTTGACAAGTATACAATTTGCCATTATTTGTCAAGATATTTAAAAAGGATTTTATTTTCATCCCAGTCTTCCATTATCTAGAATTTTATCTAGAATAAAAATTATGGGCTTACCTGATTAAGAAATCATGCAGTCCAACATCAAAATACCTGTTCAAAAAAGACACAGACAAGTAGGTCAGTAAAAGAAATGTACAACAATGGTGGACTTGACCAAAAATACATAATTTACTTTCAGAGCATGGTGTCAATCAATCACTCTCTGACAGTGGTTCTGAGAGTATGACCCCTGGAGTGCGGCCACAGCAGCATTACCTGGGAATGTGCTGGAAATGCAAATTCTAGGGCCCTACGTCAACATACTGATTCAGAAATTCTGGAGGTGGGTTCCAGCAATTAGATTTGACAAGCCCTCCAGGCAATTCTGAGGCCAAACCACTGCTCTATGGCAGCAAAAGTGTCTCAGCAAGTCTACGCTCTCTCTCTCTAGAAAAAAAGGCTGTAAAGGCAGAGTGCGACATTTTGCCAACAGGTGAGCCCTTTTATAACACTAGCCATCTCAGATGTTTCCTCACTCCAGCATAAATGAAATGTTTTACAAGTACAAAACCATGCTGCCCAAAGGTAAGAACAGAGGTGGGAAAGAGTCAGCTCTGTCCTTCCCTGTTCCTTCCAGCCATAGTCCCTGGAGCTTTTTCCCAGAGAGCAACCCTGTCCATAGCTGGGTCTACCCTGGGAGGGAAGAGAGGAGAGGGGCTCCATGCACACGCTGGTGAGCTGGCCACTGTGCTTAGCCTCAAACTGGGCATCCAGTAATTCCTGGGCAGTGGTGGACCCTTTAGAGACAGCTTCCCCTGCCACCACCCAACTGGCTTGGTCCATATGAATGGCATTGCCTTAGTTTCTCTATTTAGCTCATTTATTCCCCCTAAACCTCTGACCACTTAGCCAGTGTCCTTCTCTCCCCTTTGGGTCTGGCTATGAGTAAAAAGACTAGGGGGCTGGAACCATGATGCTGCTGCCCACCACACATGACCATTCCTCCTAACACCTAGATGGTGGTCATTGTTTCCCACCCAACAGCCTGGCCTCCCAGGTTCGATCTGCCCAAGTAAAGCCTGAATTCATTCTGTCCCGACAGACAATGGGCAACAGACACAGAAAATTCACCCTACCCTGGGGTCTGACCACCAAGGCCCTGACTGTCCCTAGCTCCCAGCTTTACCCCTCCCCCATCCCTGGAACATCCAGCATGCCTGGCACCTCACCTCCCCTGACATAGAGCAGATAATTACTGACATTACAGTAGGATGCCTTTGGTACCTCTAAATGGCAAGCTCCGTTTATGTACTCAGAATCTGTTTATATGTCATGGACATAGGGTAGAAGAGAACAGAACAACAAAGCTAAAATATAAGTACCTCATTCACTGTATCACTTACTTGAAGTCATCACATGATTCAAGAAAAATGGAATTCAAGACACATAAATTCCACTTACTCATAAGTCTTCTGAAAAGAGCTCTAAAGGGAGATGTACCTGCAGGGCTAGCTGATTTGTTTCAGTGGCTATTACACTGACCTGAGGAGATGCTAAGTTCTCCCTCCAATCATATTTAACACAGATTAAAAAAAAAAAAAAAAACCATGAAAACCAGAAATTATCCCTCCTCTCAACCAAAACACAGGTTACATTCCTTGGCCACGTAAGTAAATATTCATAGGACGGATAGCAACTGCAAGTTCACCAGGATCTGCAATATGGGAGCTACAAGTATGTTTAGATTAGAACAAAGATTTCAGGTGCTTTTACTCATCCAAAACCTATTCAGCCTTTTCAAAGACATCAGCCACAGAAAGCATCAGATTCTGTTGCAGGAATCATAGCATAAAACAGAAACAGAAAACCACAATATGGTGGGTGGAAAGAGGGAAAGAAGACTCTGAGGGAGTAATAAGAAACCTAATACGACTCACAGAAGGGATTATTTAGAATCTAGAAGGTGGCAACTACTACGTTCGGTCACAATACACAAGCCGTTGCCAGTGAGGCTGGTGCTGGCCTCTCCACTCATCAGCGCAGGAACGAAAGCTCAGGGGCTAAGTAACCTGCAGTGCTCCCAGCTAGCAGAGGACAAATCTTCGAGTCAAACTGGGCCCTAAAAGCCATGAATTGCTTGCTCTTCCCACTAAAAGCACAGGCTCTCACTGCCTCTCATTATTACTAATTGAAAATGACTGTTCTTTTTAAGAACGGGTCCCTTTCCACCTGCCCTGATTCCTGCTTCTTCCCACATGGCTGCCCTGCCCCAGGCAAGTGGAATCATGTCAGGCTCTGAGCTTCAGCTTCTCCATGGGAAAATGGAGATCCTTATTCATGGAAGGTTATGCAAAGCAGGTGAAATACCATAAATACGGGGCTTAGCACAGTGCTTGGTAAACCCCTGAGTACTCAATAAATAGTAATCTCCTTCCCTCCAACTTTGAAGAGTTGTTCTAATGGAAGCCCAATTCCCAAAAACTCAGTAGGAGAAGGAAGCCACACAAAAAGGAAATAGTAGGTCTCACCATGCAGCCCACAGAGAAAGGCCACTTCATCCAGGATGCAGGCAAGACCTGAGCAGTGGCATAAAGGGTGGTACAGCTGGAGAGCTGAGGGACAGGCACGGAGCTCAGGAAACAGGCAGGAGAGCAGGAAGACCAATTATTCCATGGCGGCCTCATCGAGAGCCTTGAAGCTGCATGTGAGAGCTGGAGGGTAGGGGGACATACATGGGAACAGGCTCTGGACACCAGGCAGGGAAGGCATCCTCCTGCCCTGGTTCCGACTGGCATATCAGGAAGAAGGACCAGTACATACCAGCTTCACCTGTCGCCATCGTGTACCCTAAAATTTAGGGCCTAAATACACAGAAGTAAGGAATTATGATGCATGGTGTTTCAAAACATTTCTTCTCGTGCAAATGTGAATGGCCATGGATGGAATTTGGGGCCAGGACAATGAACATCTTTAAGTATCCCGCAATAGGCACACTTAGGTTGGGGGATACTATAATGAGTTACCAGTTACTTGGAAACCAGTGGAATGGAGAAGGTCAAGGAGGGGGATTAGCATCAGAAAACATACCAGGAAAAACATTAAGGGGAAGAAAATGGAACTTCCCCCACATCTTACTCCTTTGCTGTATCAATTGATCTGTGTGGGTATTCATTCATTCACTCAACTGATATTTTGTCAGAGCCTTCAAAGTGCTGGGCCCTGATCTAGCCCTGAGGATGCGGGGGAGTAACATAACGAGGGCCCTGCTTCTCATGGCACTCACAGCCCAGGTGGGAGAGGTGAGCAACCAATAAGCACTTACATAAAGGAGATAACATCAGAGAGCACAGAATGCACATGAGGTGACAGGACAGAGCGGCAGGCCACACGACTGCTCAGGGAAGTCCTCTCTGAGGAGGTGACACCTGGGTTGAGATCCATATGGTCAGAAAGGATGAGCTATGCAAAGACCAGAGGGAGAGGGTTCCAGGCAGCAGGATGACTGGGCAAATCCCTGCGGTGGGAAGAAATGTGGCACTCTGGAGGACAGGAAGAAGGCCAGCAAGGCTGGGACAAGCCAAGGTAGGAAAGAGAGGCAGGGACCAGATCTGAGAAGGCAGTACGTAAGAAGTTTGGACTTCATGTTAACATCAATGGAAAGCACTAATGGGTCTTTAACAGGGGAATGGTATTTTTTCATTTGTTTAAATTTTATTCATTTAGGGGGTGAGGCAGTGGCATGCTTTATGTATCAAAAAGAACACTTGGGTGTCCTGAATAGAAAGGATGGGAACAGAAGCGGGGCGGGGGGCCATGGCCGTCTAGCTGAGAGGTGATGAGGACTCACCCCAGGATGGAAACACTGGAAATGAGGGCAGAGAGACAGGGATGGACTCGGATCGGATTCTGTGGTCAAGTACAAAGACTTGCTCACAGACTCGCGCAGGATGGAGCCAAGGAAGTGAGGCAAGGATGGAAGGGGAAAATAACGTGTGAAATAGCGGACCATCTTGCATCTCACAGTTCCACACCAGGCAACCAAAGGCTCAGCCAGGCCCTGGCTGCTTCTGGAGGCCCCACAGTAACACCTGGTGAGGGGATGACAATATTCTGTGACTGGCTTTACTTGGAGAACAGCTCACCTGCTGGAAGAACTGTAAATCACGGCAACGGTTTGGGGTCTTTTTAATGAATTTATTGTGGCAAAAACCACGTAACACAAAACTTCCACTTGAACCATGTCTTCCATGTACAGCTCAGGGGCATTAAGCACACTCACACTGCTGTGCAACCATCACCACCATCCAGCTCCAAAACTTCTTCAGCCTGCCTCATGTGAAACACGGGGTTTTCTCTTTACCACGGGAAAGCAGAGGTGGGCTCCTTCCAAAGGGCTCAGGGTTGCCCCCTCACATAGGGCTGTGTCTTACACAGATACAGTCTAGAGTATCTTCTCACTTAATTTTCCTGTATAGATGTAAACGGCACCTTAGGAACTACAGTAAAAAGGGAATATGCCTTTCTTTTTTTTATTTTAGAATTGTATGCCAGGCACTGGGCTAGGCCCTCTAGGTATTACCTCTTTTCGCCTTCACCACATGCCAGAGTAGATCCCTGTTTTATAAAGCCCCGTGTTCTTATCCCCTATCACATAGCTAGTAAGCGGCTGAGTCAGGACCTGGCTCAGAGTACCAAACGCCAAAGTCTGTGCTTTTTCACTTTGCCTGCTCAGCCACTGATTCTTCTAACAAATAGTTACCATGTGTCAGGTAGTGGGAATTCAGTAATGCACAACACAGAACCCCTGCTTCAAGGGAAGTGGAGCCTAGGAAAGAGATGCCAGAGTCAATGATAAGTTCAATACAGTGTGATGAACAGCAAATGTTCTAACCCCCAAGAGACTGCCAAGAACCGGAGCCAGTCACCAAGCAGATACTCAATAAATATCTGTTACGTGAACCAAAGTGTGAATGGTGTGCTGTACCAGGACACCCACGATGCCTCCGTCTGCTCTGGCACTTGGCACAGTACACTGCACACAGAAGATGCCCAAGGTAGTTATTTAATATGCCAAGTACCATATGTAAATATATAAAATAAGTACCCACAGC